TGGGGGGGTGATGGCGGTGGGGAGGGTCCCGCTGGGGTGCGGGCCCGCGCCCCGCGCAGCAGGTCCCAGCGTCCTTCTCCATCTTAGACTGGCTCTGAGGAAGGATTTCTGTGCAGAAGGGGCTGTTGGGCGTTGGAATGGGCTGCCCAGGGCAGGGGGGGAGTCCCCGGGATCCCTGGAGGGGTTGAAGAGTCGGGCTGAGCCAGCGCTGAGGGATCTGGGGGAGTTGGGAACGGTCAGGGGGAGGGTCATGGTTGGACTGGAGGAGCTGCGAGGGCTTTTCCAACCCACCATGATTCTGGGATTTTCTCTTCAACCCTCCCAAACTTGGGGAGCTAGTCCTCTTCCCACCGGGGCGATGCTGGTGTATCCCACCCCGTAACTCCCCAGTGCCTCTGTCATGATGGTTTTGGGGTGCTCTGGCTGGGAGCAGGGCTCAGGGTGTGGGTTTACCTCCCTTGGTCGTTCCCCACCGCTTCATCACAGCTGGGTTTTGTCCCTTCAAACCTACAAGCTCTGAAGCCGCCTTCCTGCTGAACGGCTCAGGTACCCCCCTGTTTTGCATCTTCCCACCCGTTGATCTGGAAACATGCTGACAGAGACCAAATATTTTGGGGTTTCTGCAGGGATATGGCTGGGACATCACCACTGCCAGCAGTTTGAGCATCCTCCAAACACTTTGGAGGCAAATGTAGGAGATGGAGCACAGGTCATCTTTGCCAACAGCCCTTTCTGCCCCAGGCCCATGTAGGGTTCAAATGTTGGTGAACAAATAAATGCTGGGGTGGGTGGTTTGGAAGGGAGGTCCCCTCCAGCCAAAGCTGTTCTGGGATTTTATGAGACAGAAACTGAATTTTCAGATTCAGCTGAGCATAGGGTGTATGCTCCATCACCCCAGCCAGGAGCAGAGTAACTAATATTTTCTTGATTGCCATCAAATTAAATGTCCAAGATGCTAAGGGATGCAGCAAAGCCCTCTCTTTTCACACCCACTCTGTCCGTAAGGCATCAGGGCCAAATTCTCTCCCCTTGTGCCTAGGAAATGCTAAATTACTGGGGAGATAAGGAGGGGAAAGAGCTGTCAGAGGGATGGGGCGTGGAGCATGACTCACTGGCTTTCCTCACTCTCCTCCTGGCACAAGAGCTACATTTAACCAAGACAGGCAAAAAAAAAAAAAAAAAAGTCCCCGGCAGCAGTAACACAGTCCACATTTATCATCTGGTTTCCAATCACAGGTTTTACCAGAAGAGAGCCGGATGACTCAGGTGAAATCAAGGGGCTGGTGCTGGCCGGCGGTTTTACCACCCTGAGCTCCCATCGGGAACAGAAACCGCTGTACTGGAGGATTTGAAGCCCTGAATTCCATCCCCTCTCCTCCCCAGACACCCACCAAGGTGCAGCTGGGTACTTTGCATCATTTCAAAACCCTCTGAGGACGTTCAAATCCATTGTATAAACTAAATGTATAAACTAGAAACGTGTAAAAAACGCTCATGGGACTCAGCAGAATGACTATCACTTTCATTTGGATCCAGACCAAGCTGACACGGTTCAAGGGTTGGGTAGCATTTCTTAGGAGCTAAAAACCACTGAGACCTAATCATCCATATGAAAAGGGGGTTAGTAAAGGGCATCTAAGTATCTTGGCACTCCCTAGTCTTTGCTACTTTTATTGTCTTAGAAAAGAAGAAGATAAGCTCCCTCTGGAGTCACCTCGGACTTTATAAAGGTTTGAACTCAGCAGCTGTGGGAGTTGGCTGTAATTTTTCTCCTATTTATGGGGAGACAAGGGCAGTTGCCAGTTTATTTGCTAGTGTGAGCACTGTGTGGATGTGCAGAAAACCACTTTTTCTGGGTATTTTTGAGCAGAGGTTGCACACACGGTAGCCGATGCAGGCTAACAGTATTTACAAACGCAGAATTATTAGGGTTAGGTAATTTAAGTATTTGTCATGATGTGTTACAACACAGCCCCATTTCCAGCCATAGCAAAGTCCTCTCCCTCTTAAACACAAGCCTGCATTGGCTGGGTGAGCAGAAGCACTAATGTTTGGCCTTTTTTTTTTTAAGTAACTTACGATAATGTTTTGATTATTACACCCAATTTTCTCATGAAGCTTTCCCAAGAAATTTTTCTTTGCTATTTTCGATTATATCCAAGAAAAGCAAAACACAAGCTATAAAACAGGAGAGTGACAGACAGCACCATGCAACATTGTTTTTAAAATCTCTGAATTTCTTAGAAGGAATCTGCCCTGTTTTGCTTTCCTGTGCTTGCTCAGACCTTTGCGCTGCTCAAAAATCGAGGAGGGATTCTTAAAAAGCAACAAAATAGGGAATGCAAAAAGCCCTGAGGCTGAATCTTGAATTATTTGCAAATCTACAGTAAGGTCTAGAGCAAGTGAAAGCCCAGCACATCTGCTGGATGGTACCCAGGGTGTCCCCACGAGAGCCAGGGGATGCTGCTGGGTGCCAAGGTGGGGACATATGGGTGTGTGGTCCATGGCAAAGCCCAGAGGCCTCTCTAGTCTGGAAAATACAAAATAGGAACAGGATGGAGCAGGTTAGTATTCAGGCTCCAGCTCCTTGACCTGGCAGGGAATGGCTGGGGCATCATTTCCTGCGTGCCCAAGATGCTCCTCAGGGCTTGAAGAGCAGCATCTCAGAAGAAACCTCTCTGTGCCAAGCTGGCTAAGACTGAAGAGACCCTGCGCAGTCTTCACTGGGTCAGACGAAGCCATCTAAAAGGCATTTCAAGGGCAATTTCTGTGCTGACAGCTGCTAAAAGGCTGAGATAAACCACGCACAAAAGACGCTTCTTTTTCCTCCACCGACTATAAAGTGAGAGCGTTTGGGACTGGGCTCAGAGCTTAAAGTTAGAGATGTTGAATTCCACCTTCTCAAACCATCTGTGTCAACCCAGCATATCATTAACAGCTCAAACAGGAAAAGAGCAATGCAGATTGATCCTGCTATTACCATCAAGCTAGAACGTGACCCAAACGTGATCCTCAAGTAATAGCTGTGGCCACAGCGGTGATGGATGGCAATGTCACAGCCTACCACCATCCTTCCCCTGCCCTGGAAGCACAGCTTGGGATTTATCAGCCCCTGGAATCACAGTGTGTCAGTTTAAAGAGTGAATCAAGAGCGAATTAATTCTATTACCTAAAAGAACAAGCAGAATTGATTACAGGCTCCTAAAATACTAATCTCTTACAGGGGGTATGTGTTGCTCGGTAAGGACAGAGGGTCCCCAAGGTCTGAGGGACCTTCTGCAGATGCGATCTGCATTTTAACTTCCCTGGTGAGGTCTCAAATTCTAGAGCTGAAACTGGAAGTGAAGGCAGCAGTTTTGCCCTGCCCTGGCTTTCCTTTCACACCTAAACAAGATCCCACACCAACAGACCCCTCCACAGCCTTTACTCCCCAAATTTGGAAAACTTCAGAGGTACGGCCTGAGCAAGTTGTAGCGAGTAAATTCATATTTATACTTTTGAGAAGGTGAAAACAGCTGTATAACACACATCTCCAGACACCCATGGACCTGGACTCCATTTCTGCGGGGAGCTACCTGTCACCGGCCAGAGCCATCTCTGGGTCCCTCCAGCCCATTTCTAACCCAAGGGCCTCTTTTGCTTCACGTGTCGGGCAGAGGGGAAGAGCAGCTGTGTCCCCGCATCACTCTGCTCGGTTGCTTCTCACCATTATTACCCCGAGATCGATAACACAATCTGTAGACTGGACTGTTCCCTGGCAACACGCGGCTTGAAACTATTCCTGCAAATTTTCTCTGCCACTCTTGTCCAATTGAGTCCAGCATCAAGTGGCTCTTTTGGCAGCCCGGGTAGATATTTGTGTTTTGCCTGCCTTTAGGTAAATCAATTACTATTTAATTTATATGTCAGCATTCAGCTGAACACATTTAGTGAATCAACTGGGAGGGAAGCAGCCAGGTCTGCTCTTCTCCATCAAAGAGCTCTACCGCAGGAGATGCCTGACCTTCTCACAGGCAGTTCTCTCTGCTGTTGTCTTCTCCTTGGACTAACCGGCCAGGACCCCCAAGCCAAGTCATTCCATGACCAACACAGTTAGGCTTTTTGGAAAGAAGTTGAGAATTTTCATAGCCAGAGATGTTTGAGGGGAAAGCTTGTCCAAACACAGGCTCTCACTTGCTCAGCTCCACTCCAAGCATCCAAGCTTTTCTTGACTTTCCCACTCCAAAAAAATTCCTTATTGATATCAACTTTCTTTTACTGCCTACAAAGTAAGAAACTCTCCCAGCTGGAGTAACTAAGCTGCCCTGGCTGTGCACACCATCAGAAGATAGTGACAAACAGAGGCCACGGACAGAGTGCTACGTCCAAGGCGGCAACTTACCCTGGGTTTGTAAACCAAACCTTTGTTTGAGTCTGATGCCATTGTTCGCTTCTGTAGCAACAAAGGGAGAAGTTATAACAAAGAGTCATTAATTTTCTAATCAGGGAATGCAATTCCAAGCAAGCCACAGGAACTTTGCTTTAGGTGGATGCAAATCCTCAGGAAGGGTCACAGCAGAAGCCCTGGAGAACCCTAACCAACATCAGCAGAGCTAACCCAAGGTTTGCTGTGGAAACTGGAGACACAGGACATCCCCAGAAGCCAAGGGAAGACATCTTTCTTCTCTGACAAAGTTTCTTAATTAGAGCTGCACTGCCACAAAATATTTGCTATCACACTCTGGTACCAAACACTTGCGATAAAGTTGTTGGATCTTGGGCTGCAAATAGACCTTCTAATCTGACCCAATTACCTGCACTGAAAACAACAAAAAACGTTAAAACTCCTGCTATGAAAGGCAGCAATCAGCTTTACACCATTTACTTGAAAATAGCTACAGCTCTGTGCTGTGTACCACACCTACTCAGCCTCCTTGCCAGAGGCTGCTTGTCGCTGGGATTTAAAGCACAGCCAAAGAAAACTCTCCAAATCCAAAATAACACAAGCTGACACGGCTTCATGACAAGTGAAGGGCAGAGAGATTTCTTTGTCAGGATTTGGCATTACACACCGTTAAAGGAAAAAAAAAAAAAAAAAAAAAAAGTAGGGTTTGCAAAAATATGAGTCCAGTGATGTTGGAGCCCAGACCAAACACCATGGGAAGAGTGGAACAGTGTTTTTCTCCCACAGTGTACCTGCCATCCTCCTCCAATCTCAATCTCAACTCATGCCTGAGACAGCAACATGGTGCTCCGAAGACGAACAAGGCTTTTTGTGTTGGTTTTATCAGCTGGACGCTGTCACGGTGTTATTTTCTTTCACAGCAAAATTATATTATGGAGCGAGTAGCGGGAAAGCCAAAGAAAATATTGTTTAGGACGTGAATATTTTGTTTATTTGTAGTACAAATGTTCTTCCTCGGAATAAATGCCGAGCTTCCTGCAGGTCTGGCACTCCCTCTGAAATCCAACAAGTTAGCAACACTCCAGCACACCTAGCAGGTAATTTATAGATCTTTCTATGAGATACAGGGCTTGAAATGCTCTGTCAGCTGCAGAATGAGAGGTGGGTGTTTGCTACTTGGAATTATATCCCCCACAAAAAGCTGACAGACTCTACCCATCCTTTTGGGACTATTTTTGTTGGGTTTTAGTACCTGCATTTTTCCAGCAAGGAGCAGTTCTGGGTTAAATGTGGAGCAAAAGCAGCAACAGAGATGTAACTGAACAAAATGCCACACGCCAAGTATTCAGCAATATTCCTTTGC